TTAGGCGAAATATATTCGTTACTTGAAATGTACCTAACACTATTAATTCAAGTCGTACTATTAATTACGTAAGATAATGAACTCGTCAATCAGTAATGTTAATTTATTGTACCTATCATACATAATAGAATTTTAAGCGCAGCAATTAATATTTTATCTGTGGTATAATTCTGTATGAACATAAATCGTTGATAGTAACGGTAGGTGGAGGGTCGGTCTCGGGCGCATCACGGCAAAACTGATTTATTCACTGGTGATATTTTATAGCGTAGTTTGTTCCGGCCGTTATTGTATTAGGGCGGCTGTTTGTTACACTATGCCTTTGCCCCACACCATACAGAATATTTTTAAAACATATGAGATACTTACATTTTTATATTGTTATAAGACTTTATGATAAGAGGGAATAAGCATAGATAATTAGCTCAATATTATTGTACTTTTTCATTGAATCTAAGTAATAGAGTTTATAAGTTATTGGATACAGCGAAACAAGAATATAAAAAAAAAAAAAAAAGAAGTAAGAAAGAAAGTTGAAATGTTAGGAGCAGTTATTTATTAAACCAGTCTATAGGAATTGAAAATTGTTGGTATATCCAACAATAAGTTATTAATTAGAATATTACTTAGGGGACTTAAGTGTTTGATATAAATCATATTGTTTAGATAGATTAATCACATCGTTGTAAGAAATTAAAGCGGCTAATAGGTATAATGTAGCAGATAACGTAATAATTAGTTAGTTCATTAAATCCATTCTCAAATTAGGATTGCTTACTGATACAATTTAGAGAGCTTGTGAACTGCGGATGTGACCCTAGGGACGATATTAATTGTAACTATAGGTACATTGCTAATACAATGGACCCAGTTGAAAGTACAGACCACTTTTATTTCATTCATTTTTTAACTTAGTGTTGTGAGCAAATTTAGAATGAATTATATTATTTATATATTAACTACGAATTTAAGATGAGGAATCCCTACTCGTAAATCTAAAAGGTATAGTAATAAATTATAATTTTCTGTCACAAATTAAATGAGTAACAACCGAAAACATTCTCGGCATACGACGCCCCTTCACTTCTTATAACAAAATTCATCCGATTAATAAACTTCGTAACTGGTGCTCTATAAAAATAATATTTCGACTGTCCCCCAATTTTGAAAATTGCGTGAAATTAAATTTAGAATATACTTTTTATCCCTCCGGAGTCTGACAAATAGCCGGGAGCGGCGGTGGCGGCGGCGGCGGCGCGATTTAGTCACGGTGTAATTGGTTTTTTAATGCGGCATTCGCGAAGTACCACCTTCCGCTTTATCAAGTGAATACATTATCAAATCGTTATAACGCGGTCGACCCAACCCCGAGCTGTTTATAAGAATCAAATACGTTCGTCGCTCGGTATAGCTCGCCTCGGGTACAAGTACTGCACTGTCAAGTGTGCGCGTCCTGGGTATTGGACCGACCGCAAGTGAGGGGTTGCAAATTAGTGAATCGCAGTTATGACTCTGCTTTTTTAACGGTTAATAAATATAAATTAAAATTAAATTTTTATTGTTACGAGTTTATGAAACGATTGTAAATTTTTATGTGTATTATTATCAGCTTCGAAACTACCTCATGATACTGTGATTTTAGATAATTTAAGATTGTATTACACAGAAAATTGGACACTTATCTTAACAAAATTTTGTATGGGATTTATGTGGAAGTAAATTAGATATACTATACCCATATGAAAAAGAGGTCGTCATCAAAACGGATTATATCTGTTAAAATTCTTTAGAAATATTTAGATTTGTCTGAAATTAGTTGAAAAGTAATATCTGTTAATTCTGCACAATTTAATATAAATGTATGTAATAGCTATAAATAAAAAGATACGAAAGTAACAAAAGTTGAAAGAGTACAGCGAAGAATACAGACAAGGGTTTGACAGTAATAGAGATAGAGCAAAAGATATAATCATAAATTTCCAAGTGCAGATATTCAAAGAGCGCATTCCTCTTCGATTATCATGAACTGCGCGTTTTCATAGTACATTACAACAAATTATTTTCTGTTGATTTTTATCGTATCGGGGTTATCATTCGTTTTCACTGAAAGATGTCATAGTCATCATTCTCATTACGGTCAGGAATATGTATCTTTTTTTTAGATTTTGTCTTATTACCAATAAAAGCACCATTACATTTTTTTTTCATATTTACTAATTGTCTCTCATTGAACAATACAGATATTTGATGTAATGAAATAAGCAAACTATATTATTATGTTTATGGATTACTTATTTACTAGGTATATGAACTATTTGTCAGATTCTAAAAATAAGGGCAGAGCTGTTCTTTGAAATTACATTTCAAAAATCTAACTTTGATGCACGACGGGCATCCAAAACTTGTACCCAGAAATATTAAAATTCCTTAATTTGAATTTTTCTAATATATCTTCATATATGTGTTCATTCTCCTACGAGACTCCAAGGAGGTTGCATGTTTGTAAGCTTACAGAAGAATCCGAGCAAAACCAATTAAGTGAAATTGTTTAAGTTAACCATGACCATCTATTTTATTCTTATTATATTTCACCTAATTTTATACTTTCCCCTGGCAAAGCAAGCAATTAATATTATTAGGTATTCTTAATACCACTTTTCTATTATTAATATTAATTATATTACTATATATTATAAATGACAGGAAGAAATATCGCAGACTCACTGTCTTTAGAAATGGAACTGTGCACCACTTTGGCCTGCTTCTCACGATGCCGGTCAATGTGTCGTGTTACAGCCGATCCTGTCTACAGTCCGTACAGCTACTGCATAGAACACGGCACCCACCATACGTGTATCGACAACGAGCCGGGATTGGCCTTCCGCGTATCATTCGCACTCGTAAACCCAGTGTTACTTTTATTAAAGCTCCAGAGAAGCGGTTTTGTTGCGTCATAAACGTGATTAAATCCGTTTATTGAGTATATACTCGTTTATTTAGATAGACGTTCCGGGAATTTTAGTGTCGGAACAAAAAACATGTAAAAAGCGTGGCGGAACTATTACCCTCTCTACATAAAAATACCTAATGCAGTTAGTGCATAAGGAGGAAATCTACGTGCTACATTCGCTCTTGTCTCCGTGGTTAAGTGGCCCATTCGCGTGCAAACGAGCGCACACTTTAAAATAATAAAACCCCTTCAGAGAGTATCAGTTGCGCGCATAGCGGCACTGACAAAATAGGATACTATATACCTACCTACACATACTTGTATTTTGAAAAAAGATTTTAAAACCATAATATTTACCTGAAATTAACAATTTTACTATCTTCTTTCCGTCGCATATTTTTCGCATTATACTTTACCATTATGTTACAATAATTTCTTAAATAAATAAATATTATTTATTAAATAGGTGTTCCATACACCTATTATACTATTACAGGTATATATATTTAATCTCAATATTTTATTTCTTTCGTACACGAACGTTTTGTTTCGTTTTATATGAACGGAATATTTATCATATTAATTATATTTATAAGCTAAAATGTGATATGTATAATTGTACAATATTACTAACATTATAAATGTAGAAGTTTGTGAGTATGGATGTTACTGTTTCAAGCAAAAACTACTGAATTAATTTTAATGAAACTTTATAATAATATGGGCTATAAATTCCATGTGGGATAAACCATAGGCACAAGTAGTTATAAATAAACGAGAAAAAGTTTAAAACATTTTTTTATTTTCTCTAGAAATATAATCTCTTAATCCGCCTCTCAGAAACGAATTTTCCTATAATTCTTTCTTACGACTGCCTGTAAGACTTTCTAGTTATAGAGACCGATATTAAAATATTTAGGGTTTTATACATTCTTGTGAATGGCGCGTGATTTTCGTATGCAGACCGCGTGTAAGTCTACGTTTGTGATTGCATTACAGAATCAATATGGGGTGTCAGATGTGTGCACAAACTATCAGTTGACCAACGAGTGGTCCCTCAGTGTAAATTTTACCTAACTAACCATACAGTCTATTTATTATTATTTTTATAAGGTTAAAAAAGTATTCTATTATTATTGTTCTATTCAGAGATGGCATTTTATTCCATAAGTATAAAATAATAGCGATAATATTACACCATTATACACAGTATTAATATTCACAATAATTACTTTATATGATAAAATGAAAACTCTCTAGTTTCAAATTAAGTAAAGGATATAGGTAGTATATTATATATTTATATAGTTTCTATACACAGAAAATAAAATATATTTATATTTGTATTGTGACAGGATCGATTCCGCGAAACTAGGTCAAAGTGCTAACCCGCTGAACCACTAAGATCGTAATACAAAGTATTTAGAGCTTCGATATTACACAAAACAAATATTGACATTACCTCAAAAGAATCTTGCCCGTATTTCCTTTATCCTTCCGTCATGATCGGCGCCTGTATCTAGTTAGCGTTGGATACACGGGGAAAAATGAAATATAGAGGCAATCCAAATGGATTGTTATCTACCCACGTGTTTACCGGCGCACCGCGGCACGTTCGCGCTAACAAGCGACCCTCGCGCCTAAAAACTGGAGACCCGTACCCGTGGTGACAGCGCCGCGCGCCCTTAGCACAGACCCCTACACCGTGTCACACAATTTGCGAGTGACAATGCTCATGACAGGTGTCCACCATAGTTTCTATCTACGCGAACATTTTTATAAGGCATCTAATAAGTTGCCGGCTATGTTAATAAATGTACTTATTAAAAAAATTGAAATAAAATATTATTACTCTTCTTTGTTTTATTGCTCTATCGATATCATTGACCGTAGTTAGTTATTTGCATAAATTTTTATGCATTTGTTGAAATTGTATATGAGCATATTGACTAGCAGATCATGATCACACCTAAATTATTATACGGTTTTAGAACACTAATTACATATAAATAACATTGAATGTAGTAGCGATATACTTTTAATATGGATCATAAAGATTTTAACGAGGCTTACCCTTATAAATATTACATTTCTTCAGAGATAGCTAAAACTGTACCCGGTAAGTCCCATGTATCATAACGGGCGGTCATTGATTCGCTGATAAAGGATAGCTCTTTGTGACTTATAGTCGGTCCCCTCTCGTCTTGTGTCCATTATTCGGAGGTACTGACTGCCCTATCGTGAGTTTGTGGGACTACGGCAGGACAGATGGCTGCTCTGTGCCCAGGCGTACTACAAACACCTTTAATGCACCTCATTCTTTCTCACCGCCTCCCTATTAGTTTCATGGCTAATTGAGCGTAGACTGCGAAGGTTTATTTAATCTTTATGTACCGTGCCGTTTATAACCTCAGGTTTATCTGGAACATGATAATAGTAATATTATTGTTTTTAACCGACTTCCTAATGACGAATGATTTTTAATGTGTCTATTAAGACTATTTTTCAGTATTTTATGTATTTTGTTGATTAAGTATCTGCAATTTGCTTGTAGTTTTTAATATCTATATCGTATCGAATAATCGTGTATATAAATTACTTATTAACTACTTATTACTTAATTATCATGATAGTAAACTGTAACATGCTGACAATGATACAGATGTGATAATTTCTAAACAGTTGTAGTGGAACTAAATATATTAACTAAGCAAAGTCTTTCATAAAAATATAAAACAAAATTACTACATTAAATATAAGAAAATATAGCACTTCGGAAAATATATGAAGTAAATTATTTGAATGTTAATTAAATATTGTGTCTCAAGTGTAGGTAGACAAAGCACGATAAGAGAATTACAACTCGCAATTAGCATAATCCTCGGCGCGGGCGCAAAACAGATAGCGGTAAGGTGCTTAGGTAAATTAAGTGGCCTCCTTCTACGAGAGCGCTACGGTGTAGCCCGTAGGCCCATCACAGTCGCGTGACGCGTGCCACTGCCGCCTTATCTGTTGGTCGAAAACTTTATTACCAAATAAAATATTAAATTCTCTTGAATTTGAATTATAAAGTTGGAGGCGTTCATTTAAATAGATACATTTATTTTTTTATTATCATCGTTATAGCCACTCATCATCTTTTTAAAGCTGAATTGGACTGAAAATAAGTATTTAATCTTCCATTACTATACTGACTTAACTATTCGGTAATGGATTTTCATTTTGAGGTCTCCTTCTCTTATACGGATATATTTGTTGATGGCCTGAACTGTGATAGATAGACATGATAACTTATTTAAATTTCATTGTTATAAGAAATTCGTGTAAAATACAAAGCTAATAAATTACTGTTTTAATTTTACATAAAATTAATTATTATAATATAATTAATATTATAAAATTTATATATCATAAGGAGGAAAGAATTTTTTAATGAATAGATTGGGTTTTAATATCTTAATATCGATAAAGAACTTTCAGAATATATTTTATTTTTAAAACGAAAAATTCACTGCACTCGTCCATAGGCTACGGTAACCGTTTACCATCAGATGGGCAATATGCTTGTTTGCCTACGTGGTATAAAAAAACCTTTGTAAAATCGATAAGTTATTATATATTTTTTCATAAATTATAGTTTAACTCAAATTAAGTGTAGTGTTTAAATTCTGGACACATAATGTGAAATGTCGGTAGGTAATGTAGTTACATTTTTATAGCATCGCATACCAGGTCTATTCGGCTTCGGTAACGGAAGGCGTGTGCAGTCGCCAATAGCTGTGATTGGATTGGGTTTGTCTAGCACTGACGAGTCCCCAGGGACTGTCCGCCGGCCCTGGGCGACGCATTGACACGATGACGACGCTAATAACAGCGATGCCAATACAAATAAAATGTATTCGCAAAGGCCATTCACTCGGACCCCATAAAAATCTAATGAAACTGTTTTTTATATCTTTTCGTTTTATTACTCTTTATATGAATGATATTATATCGTAAAACATGTCGGTATTTATAGATTTTGTAATTTTATTTTGGATATAATATAGGATCGTAACATGGAAAACATATTGTAGGTACAATTACATAATTTTTAATAATTTAATTGTCTATGATTACTTGAGAATTGGTGAATAGGTTACTGTGAATTATGTAAAACGTAGCAAATATGTTTTTTTTTAATTTAAGGTCATATTAGTTTCTACCTATAACTACGAAGGGAATAAACAACCACTCGATGTTATTAAAAATGTCATCCTGCCCCAGTTATTCAGTTTTTATGTATGTACCTAAATATATTGAAAAAAATATATACTCACGTAAACAATGTCACGGCTAATATGAAGCCTAATTACACATACTATCTGAAGACGGTATATCTAGCGTACAGCGGTGAACGTATTTAAAGAAATTATTAGGTGCAATTACGGAGCTTGTTGTGCGTGATTGGAATGCAAGCAGGGTGTGGGGCGAGGGTCGGACGACAAATTCTTACAAATTAATACATCTATCTCGGAGCCGCCTCGCGACTACTGCGATACGCACAGAATACTTTATTATACTATCCTAATACAATTTTTACGGGTAACACCTTATTCGGTGAGTGATTGAGAAGGTTTTGGGACAATCATGGGTTTGAAGACATGATGTGGGTAACTTGACCACGAAAGCGATAAGTACTTAAGAGTACAGTTAGTAAAGTTTCACGTATTGAGATTCAGTTCTTTTTATGGTACACAGATAAATATATCATCATTACAGTTCACTGTTTTCCCAGTGGTGAACACAGGTCTCTACGCTTAGAAGTATACGATGTAAGACGACTTGACATAACGTTAAAATTTAAGTTTTCTTATATTGCAACGACGTCTCATATTTACATCTTACGAGAATAAATAATAATACTGGGAATGAAAATGATAAACGAAACACTCAGTCACCAATCCATAATCTAAAACTTGTAAAATAATCACAACACAACAAGAAAATACACGTGTAAAAGTCATGTCATTATTTTTATGTTCCTCTATACTAATATTATAAAGAGCAAACACTTGACTGTTTATTTTCATTTAATAAGCTTCGAAACGGCTGGATCATCTTCTCAACCTATTTTTTTCATTATAATTTTACATTATACCTGATGAACTTAGGCGGTCGAATATTTTTCAAAATGTCAGAGATTTCTATGAAAACTTAAATAATGTACCGTAACGTATGAAAGAAATACAAAAAAATATTCTTATATTGCGTGTGCTACGGAAATTATTAGGAATAGACTAAAATGATACAGGGCATTGAATTATTTAAAAATTTGACTATTAAAAAATAAACCTAATATAATGTAATATTTATATCAAGATTTTCACAAATAGGACAGTGGAGTGTTCGAGTGCCTCGTGCCATTGCAGACAATGCCGCTACACAGCGGGAATTTCATTTCTAATCTCGGAGTATAATCTGCACCGTCAGCAAGGAGATGCAATATGCGTCCGCCGCCTCCGCCTTCGCCACCGCGTCGGCACCGCGTCGCCCGCGCCTCGTGTCACACTCGTTGTTTCGAGAGCAATTGAGGCGCCAATAAAAAAGACGATCGTCGCCCCGAACCCAGGCACCGACTTATTTACAGAACACCCAGCTACCGCTATTTATTTTATTGACTGCCATTTGCTCTGACTTTTATTGTTGCCCAGTTCCCTGATAGAACAACAGCAGGTGAGTTGTATCCAGAAAACGAATTGTCAAAATGCCGATACAGAAGTATGGCCGAATGTATAACAGCCTTGACCTTATAATACTCTGATTTAAATTCAATGCGTTTTATAGCTCTAAAATAATATTATATTTTATTGTTTATTTATTCACTGCCTCCTTTTACAACCCTAATGCGTAATGTGCACTTTTCAAATGTAGAACATTATTAAAATAATAATGTGCGCATTGTATCTGTATAAGAACTTTTTTGAAAGCTTCATTATACCATTAATATAGGTAGGCACTAGATACTTAACAGTAAAATATCATAAAAAAAATTATATAATTAATGTTAGATATACCTAATTAATGCAATAACAACGGAACTATATATAGGATTGTTTACATTAATTTATCAAATATATCATTACAGAAATGTACCGAATTTTCCTTTTATTAAAACGCTTCAAGCATTACATAAATATGTGTACATATACCTACATATACATAATACTCATCCACCAAAGACATAATGACTCCTTCAATAGCGGCTGCGTAAAAAGTTTAGTTCATTACATTTGTTACTAAAACAGCATCGGGCCAGCAGATCAGCGTAGGTGGGACACGACTGGGCAAAAGGGGTGAGCCCCATTTTCCACACATCATTGCATCGGGCCGCAGATTTATTTGCATGCGGGCCGCTGACCAGGATCCATTATTGCCATTACGGCAGTATCTGATCAACCGGCACGAGAATTATGGTGCTCTTGTTTTTCTTAACTACATGAAAAATGGCAACAAAGAAAATAAATAAAATTTATTATGCGAATTGAAAGAAATTGCCGTAGCAAGGGTTATGGTTTCCGCAATAATTTTGTTCGGTCAGGGGCTTAGGAAAACTATAAATATACATTTGGTCAGAATTGATAATACATATAAAATAACTTCAGTATAATTATTTATTGTTTACATCAATACAAGGTTACTTTTATTTGTTACAGGTATAGCTATTAATGTTTATCTCTATTAATAATTCCAAGTTAGCCTTTCTGCCTAATTTTGAAGAAATAGTTCTACTTTTTTAAATATTGCAATGTGAGAGATTGACGGACAAATACGCATAGATTAACACCTTGTTGTAATTTCTCGATTCGATTAATATTAGAGATTTGAATTACATAGACTGTTTTTACTATAGTTTATGTTGTATTTGTGAGTAAAGAAAAAGTATATAAACTTATGCAAAAGTTTGGTAAGTTCTTAGGGCGGGCGCGTGTTTACTACCTACATACCTACTTCGATTCAGATTTATGCCACGCGTCGATCGCCACCGCTTACTTCCGACTCAATACGAGTAATGAACGAGGCGGAAACTATAAATCTATTTAGTCGCCAAACTTGCGTAATGGATAAGAATTAAGAAAGTAATACAAACATTGTCAGATATCAGCTCGTTGTGTCGCTTCAGCTTGTATATAGTGTGAACGACGTTAGTTCATTCTATCGCTTGCTTAGTGAGGTTTCAGCTTAAAGCGTATCGATCTGAAATTAGGTCACAGTTCACAACGATGTTAAAGGTCAGTGGTCTTTACCAAGTGTTGCTATCTCCAAATTAGTTTTAAATACATTAAACTAATAATATTACTAGTTCCTTATTATTACAACATAATATCTATATTTTTTATGCTACTGATGGATAGTAACAGCATTTTAAAATAATCCTGACAGGTAATTAGAATATGAATAAGACAACGACCATGTCCATTTCTGATACACTTATTTATTAAGGATTTTATGGTTTACGATATTTATGCCTGGACTATGAGAATAAAAACAAGCAGTCTGTCTGGTATTTCTGTTCTGAAACGACATGTGATTATGCAATAGGACCACAATAGTAGTTAAGATATTCTTGACCGGGTCGGGACGACTTACTTTACTGAACGCTTTATTGGTCGACTAACAATGAATTAGTGATGGTAACAAATAAACTTAAGGATATTGTTGGTATCGATATAAAGGCTTAAAGTAATTACAATAATCAATACAGATATTATTGAAAATTAAATACAATCAAAACATCATTTTAATGTACCTACGTCTGATGATATTTTTTGTGAATTATTATTAATATTTATAGTTTCTTTGGAGATTGAAGTGTCAAAAAATGTCAGGAATCCTAAATAATTATTTGTAAAAATTTAGCTATTTATTTTAGTTTTTGTAATTTCTATTTAATTTAATGTGAAATTATAATGTACTGGCATGTAGATACTTCTTTATTATCTATAAGGAAAGTTTAAATGAGAATAAAAATAGATCTTATATTTTGCAGCACCTATTAAAACAATACTTTGATTACATCGATTATATTCACAGATGGAATCAATTTCATACTGCTATTTAACAATAAAAATGTACAGTTATATTGTGTTGTATTTACTTACTCTATCACACTGCTGTGTAAATATCAGTTGGTATTCACTGGTTGGTAATTGGTATCGATATAATTTTCTAGTGTAATAAATATGGTGTGCAACAACACTATAGGTTGTACATTCGTATGGGATGGACGCGACAAATCAAGCCGCGAGCTGCAATGGGGCGGCCCCGTATCGACAGGCCTTCTGATTTATAGCGGAGCCGCGTTATCGCACCCGAGGCCGTCTCTGTTTATTTTTCTAGCAATGACCATCCAACAAATAAAGCTACCACATCATCTTTTAAAAAGAGCTGCATACGTAGCAATTATGTAAACAGAATATAACGTATTACTATTTTTAACTAACTGTCAAGAGAGGGTTAAACATAATTCGTTGGTCTTTTATATGTAATTTTGATGATTGTTAAAAAAAATAGTCCCGAATTGGTTCGGTATTTGTACGTCCAAGAAGTTTTGACACTTATAGGACTTCTTAACAACATCTGTAATACCTATAGAAATTTATGATACTGACTTACGCTCCAATTGTCATGGAATGTTGCCGACAGTTGATCCCCGAGCCATACAAACTTTTGAGTTTAAAATTTATTTTCACCTTTGTTCTTTTCTTGATGTTCTGAATTATAATAAATTCAAATAAGTACAAGTGTTAATAAATTAATCATAATTATAAGCTGTAATTACTTTCTATTTTTATCGCAAACATACTTTGTGATGATAATTTGTCCTAACTATAAATATACTGCCGTAATTATTGTCTAAAAAGCTAATTTGGAACTTAGTTTAAGTACGGAATTTAGCAAAATTAATTAACGGCACCAGGCATTCAGAACAGAGAACAAGAGCTGGGTTTTCATAAAATTTATTGTTATGTCAGTAATAAAAGTTTATCAATTTATATAAAATTAATACACATTCGATAAAAGCAACAAAGTAGACGCTTAATATGCTATGACAAAATTAAAATATATTTTAAAATGCAAGCGGGTCACGCGTTGGCATTAAATTTAACTTCTCTTTGCAGAGGACGGTTAATCGTGTGTTAACGGTCGGTGGCCGTGGTAAATCTCTGGTAATCCGCTGCAGAACAAATATAGTTGAGAGGCAGATAAGGTGCGTCCGACGAGCGGCGGTCCGGCGCGGGGCGCTAATGTCCCATTTGTATGATGATGCGGCCGCTGCGGCCCGCCAAGTGGCCATTCCCTCGGGCGCTACTCAATGGTCACTAAATGTTACCCTTAACGAGCAAGCACACCAAGTGCCTTGTAGAAAGTAGTGTGGTAGTAGTATATTTAACTAGATATAACTTAAGTCTCACTATTTAACTTGTATAGACTTAGGTACTTTTTTGTATCATGAGTACCTACACTATTCTGGCCTTCCTTCCTCGCTATTTGATACTATAATACGATAATTGTAAATAAGAATTTGTTAGTTATCATCATCAGTCTACTGCAGTCCACTGCTGCACACTACTGCACTTGATCTTCAGTCCTTCATCTTCTGAAGAGACTATATTTGTTAACATTTTCAAATCTCAAATATCAATTAATAAAGCTACAGGAGAAGAAAGAAGGTCGGCCGGCACTTTGTAACACATGAATTCTATGAATTTAATTATATACAAGTAAGTTAGATTCAAGTGAAGAATGGCATTCCCAAACTCTGTCTAACAGATTACGGGACCACGTGTATGCATAACATAGGCATTATTTATCATATTTATATAACAGACAAATTCTAAGCATTTCTAAATACTGTTGTAATTGAGTGCTATTGTGATAAGATACAAAATATATAGTAATAAATATTCCATAATAAAAATAAACTTAACTTATACATAAAATAATATTTTCATTTAACGAATGTCGTATGCCCGTAACTGGCTATTCATGATAACGAGTTTGAAGCAACCGACATGAGAGACATGAATAAAAAGAAAAACCTGGTTTCGTGTGACCGTGAATGAAAATAGGGCGTCAAAGTAAACAATGGAGACAATATTTGTTGTTTGTGTAAAAAAATGAACGACGGTGGTCAGTTCATTAACATGGTAAACGCGCGCTTAGAATGGACCGTCACGCGCGCGCGCTCACAAGACTGGAAGTTATCGAGTTGTGAATTTTACAGAGTAACTAGTGTAAAAAATAATACTCGTAATTTCTGTTATAGGTAGGCAAGTACGAATTTACTAATGTGCGATATTTATTTCAAAATTGTGAAAGTGACCAAATGTGGAATACCATTTTGATTTTGAGGCATAATTTCCACAAATCTTTTTGTGGTAATTATTAATAGTCATATATTTGTACTTAACTTGTGAAAATATTAAGTTATATTGATTACTTTGGGGTAAGAAAAATTCTCAAAAATTAAATAGCAATAAAGGTATCCATATATGGAATAGGTACCCAAATATGGAATACCAGAAACTATATCAAAAATTAACCTTAACTTTTAAGAGACTTTTTAATAAATTTGGTATAATATAGAAAGCAACACAAATTATTTACAAAAATCGTAAGTCCATATTTAAAACTCGGGGCCAACGCAATTATTATGTACCCAGAGCCCACTCATGAGGCACTTGATTCATGTTTCCTTTGAGTATCATTAAAAATCAGCTATTACAAAAAGTATACTCAGCACCTTCAGAAGCTGGAGCTGTATATCATATCAAGGAATTGGGTTCACTATCTGTATCTAACAGCATCACCTCCTCATCATCTGAATCTGACGTAGGCTTAGTATTCTCTTTTGGTTTCTTTTAATGAAAAATATATAATTAACAAAATTATCAGTTAGGTGATACTTCAGGGAACCATTTATGGAATAGTCTATAATTGGATACTGTAATCTTGGACAGATATATATTTGGATTTTCCAATGATTTCCAACTGACATACACAATTTTATATTTATGTAGGTAAGTCATACAATATAATACCGCTAAAATATACGAAAGAACATCTAAATAGTATGTGAAAGCTATAAAAACCATACCGTGTGGACTTTCTGTACGTGAAATATTTATTTTTTACATAACTTAGAAACTTATGTGGTAGCGATAAGGCTTCCTCGATTGACATTCTACAATTTGTATGCGTAAATAGGAGTAGAAAAAGGTAGAAAATCACTGTAATGTGTAGGTAAATTCGCAGTTTAGAGAAATGGACGTATTCCATATTAGGATACTATTCCATATTTGGTCACTTTCCTCTAATATTCAGCAATTCTTAAAAATGTTTTCGTTTATATAGCTAATGCTTAAACGTAGGTATTAAAGAATTGAAAAACATGTAAAGTAGGTACACTGAATACATGTAACGTGTAAAAACGCACGAAGACAGGTTAAGGTTTGATTCCATTAAATTAAAAAGTCCTTGAATAATAGTTTTTCTAGTAGGTACATGGAAGATTCCATGTACAGACAAAACAATTAGTTAATTAGATATGTAGAAATTCTTGTACTGAAGCTGTTTACCTAATAGGTTATCTTTATTTGAAACAATAAAATGTCTATTCACTGTAAAAATACGTGAACTACGTTGTACGTTTGCTCTTAAGTCTCTCTTCAATTTCAAAATCTCTATACAATAGGTATTATAACTTTTTTAGTGTTCTTTGTAAGCACTTTAGCGCCAATGTTATTTCACTTTTTTAATACGTACTAAAGGCAACAAAAATCAAAAAGTTATATTTACATTATTAAAATTAACAAATTGATAAAAAATATAATATTGAGATAATATTAAAAGTCGGATATTTAAGGAAAGCTTTTCGATATTAATTGACAGTAGAGATTAGATGATTAGTGTGCATAATGGATTATTTAGCATAGATATGACTGTATTTAGATTTTTATAATTTACACCCGATTGTATACCGGATGAGTCGGCGGTTAGGGCGCGTCATTAGCGGTTATCACTTCATTCCGGATGAAAAAACTTCAACAGCTCTCGGCGGCTCTCACGTGCACTTTAATGATTTATTAATTTTTACCTTCATAAATATGGTACACGTCGCATAATCAAGGATTTTGTCATTCAGTTAACCACTTTACAGTATAGATAAAATTTATCTTAATCTAAATACATATTAATGCCGACACATATACTTAGGTACTTCATACAGCGCAATGTCATCTAGTCCCAAATTAAGCACAGGTTGAACCAAGGTTACTAAACAATTGGGAGAAATATTTAAATATAAATACATATGTTTGTAAATATATATAACAACATATATAAAGACGAGTGATTGGTGTGAGAATAGAATCCGCGACCATTAGTTATGCTAATCCGTTAGAGAACCGAGGCCGTAATGACCTTACAATTAATTAAATTGTTAAGTCGTCTCAAAACTTACATGGATATGTGTAGTTTGTTAAGTATTTTATCTGCAAATAATTTACTTAACCGATTTTTAAAAAAGTAGTGACTTAATAGTTAGCAACAATTGTTAGGAAAGGGCAATGAGATCCTCCTTCACACGGTCTATTCTAGAAAATGTACATAATATGTGGTGATTTCACCCTTATACTATAATCAACATTATTATTAACATTTTAACAACCTGATGTGACTCCGTTATCCTTCCATAATCACTATTCATAAAGATAAACAGCCATATCGGTACATTATGTATGTAAAATATTTTTATATTATATAAAAATTTATCGCTCCCGCTACCCTCAGATCTTGTAAACTGCGCAACGGATTTCAATTCAGTTTTCAGCAATAGATAGAGAAATTAAACAGGTAGGTTTATATATATAATAAATACATGTACATCTGTGCGAAGCCGGGCATGCATTATTTTATAAAAATGATTCTTACCCAAAAACTTAGCTAAGTACATACTTTTAGTAAATATTAATACACGTACATATCTGTTTATTAGGTTATAAGTATTTTTTAGTATAATTATACCTTATATAGGTATAATTTATAATATTTACTTGATAATTGTTAAAGATACTGTAAGTTTGCTTGGTGCGTGTTCCAGGCTACGCCACCCTGAAGCGTACCAGCCACCTGCCGAGTCAGCAGCGCACGCGATCGATACGCATCTCTCTCTCGTATACTGAGCCGCCTTCGAATTCTGGACTGCAAATTATTATTATAATAAACAATGTAATTCGCATGTAAAAAATTTTTTTTTATCAAGATGAAGGACGTAGATAGGTGAAGTAACTATTAGAAATAGTCGAAAATGTGTCTTCTGTTTACTGTATTTGTTACTTTTTACTAAATTAACCATATTTAAGGTGAATTTTTAAAATCCAATGTATTTTAGATTGTATTAGATATACTATATATTATAGAGAGGACAAAATTAATTTACCTAGACATAAATAGGTTTTCTATACAATTAATAAAGTAGTATTCGAGTCATCCATATAGTTTTTGTCGAATTCTGTATACCTAGGTGGGTATACCAAATTCGACAAAAACTATACTATATGGTTTAACACCTAATACAACACACAGGTTGCATGCATGATAAACGGACACATGTCCAGTTGATTCTATCTTGAATTTGACAAATGTACCTATATACTAAAATATTTGTGAAATTCAAGATATAATCAATTAGAACAACTTATATCTCTTAATTATAGTCTATCGTAGAAGTACAGTCAGATACGTATAGCAACACAAGCATTAGGTACCTCTAACAATGAATGACTTGAAAATATGTACAGTAACCGACTTGGTTTCATGTTTTTTTTTCTTTCTGAAAGCCTATTCCGGAAAGCTACATATATTATTTATTTTTATTTATAAAAACTTTAATGCACAAATACAAAAATAAAGGTGCAAATGGCGGACTTAACACCATAAGGCATTTTCTCCCAGTCGACCATAAGCTAAACAGAGATTAGTGGGCGGTGGAGTATTAAGAAAATAACATGAAAATAAATAAAAGGAAGTAGGTATAAAGAAAGTAAATTAATAAATTAAATATATATAGCCAAATACATACATATATTATATATAATACATAATATATAAAAACATATACCTACATAGATATATTTATACACATCAACAATGAATATTCCGGTGAAAGCGAGAGATCATTTTGACAATTTTCCATAAATTAGGTAATGTCGCATTTTTAATTACCGATATCCTTGGAAAAATGTTTATGTACTTTGGATTTAAAGGTAAATTTGGTAGTACTAGATTTTATGTCAAGGGGCAAAGCATTCCGGTGTTTAATAGCCTGAAGCATGAAGGATTTAGGTACGAAGCTCGTACGATGAGCAGGAACGTAACGGAACGTGCGTATATATGTACTTATATAGCTTATGTTACTTTTTTGTATTTTTTTTTATTATATGTTTTAACTCTGTTTTAAATATATAACCACCTATTACTTTTATTAAAGGTACAGGTATATGCAATGACCTAATGCAATATCATCAGACATAGATATTTAGTAATGTATTGCAATTTAAATTTATTATCATGCTATTATACAATAAAAAGTTTAAATTAAGACACATTCAGTCAGGTCGAGAGCATTAATCTGACTGACCCTAAAAAGTATTTTATGTTTTATCCTTGATATTTCCTATCACTTATATATATTATCCTAGAGGTGGAGAAAGCTTACCCGCTGCAACGTTGGAAAAAAATATACCGAACGAAATGTGAGCATAAAAGTGTTGTGTCCACCGCAACATCGAGATTTGACATGACTGACTATGCCATTTGGAATAAGAGTCGAGTCGGTATGCATGTACTATTTCCCATCAGATGAGGTAAGACCAAGCGTAAACCCATTAATAATAATAATAAAAAAATGCACTATGTTATACAACGGTGTTTATTATTTATCTGCTGTAAGACAAACCTACTACACACACTAGTGACAAACACAAGTAAGTACTGGTATTATGTCAAAAGTGAAGGAGAAATTTTATAATGGTACTAACTTATTGGGCATAAAGTGATAATCATATAGATCTAAATCAGATGATAGGATGAGCATGAAGTCAGGTCAGTTAGCCCATCGTGACAAATTCAACCAGAATTTATCACGATGGTTTCCAGGGGGAACCCCGTGGAGGTCAATCTGATATGGTACATTGCTAGCAATGGGATTATTAGACCACATTACTGGCAATCTCCATATTCTGTGCAAAAATGACATCATAATTCCTCTAGCCTTTTTTATGTGAAACCATAACACATAGTCAGATACTATTTGCCTCGTCATTCGTACACTCGTATTTTATTACATGCAAAGATAATAAAGATAAAGCTGATGTTTAATCACTATATTTCCATTTAGTTATTTAAAAACATAAGATCTATTGACCTATGTCAGTCCAGATGTGTCAAAAAAAAAAGTCAGTCTAAGCAGTCAATCTAATCAGTCGTCAAATGTCAAAATACTGTGATGGATCTGTGAATTGTTTGTTTGTGAAAAACTCGATAGAAAGTAATTAATAACAAGCAAATAAATTAATAAATACATAAAATAATTACATGAAAGCAATACATACATCTATAAAATCAATGCAAAAAGTAACCACAGTCATTAGCTATTTTTCATCTAAGTGGTTAGCCTTGAAGTAGATGTCATCTATTATCTTAAATGAGTGTTGTTTATTTTACATTTTAGTGATATTAGTTGGCAATTCACGATTATATGGCTTTGATGTTTGACTTATGTTTCACAATAATTGGGAAGAGGCATGTTTTATCCACGCATTCGGGAGAAAGGTGCAGGGTTAATAGTTCTCAGTTGGACTTGCCTGGCTGTGCTGTGCGCCGCGTCCACAGCGCCCTGCGACAAGACCCGCAGGGTTTTCACACAGCCCAGCGGCATCATTACCGATGGACCAAGCAACTCTAATTATACACAAGTCAGTCAAATACTTTTGAGTTCATTTCTCTAATAACAAGGAACATGTTAACATTTCAATAACATTTTAGGATTCCCACTGTGAATGGCTGATCAAAGCTTCGAATAAATCCCAATATATAACGTTAAGTTTTATTCGTATGGGTACAGAGTGCTCATATGATTATGTGTTTGTTTATGACGGTGATTCCTTTGATGCTCCACTACTTGGAAGTTTCAGTGGAAAAACTGAACCACAAAATGTGACTGCTTCTAGTGGTTATGTAAGTATAAGATGGATATTATTTTTTCTTTCACTTATATCCCCGCAGCACCAACATGTTTATTGTTTTATTATTTTGTTCCAGATGCTAATACTTTTGTATAGTGATACAAATTATGTACTAGATGGGTTTCGGGCTACATATGCTATACACAACTGTCCTAACAACTGCACAGGTCAGGGCGAGTGTGTGTCTAACAAATGTTTCTGTGAAGGCAAGTGGGGTGGACCCGACTGTAGTGTTAAATTATGTCCTAATGAATGCTCAAATAATGGACAATGTAAAGGAGATAGATGTATTTGTAAGAAAGGGTAATTATTTCAATTTGCTTGACTATTAAATCCATAAATACATCAACATATTTAGGCTACCAATAATTATCATATGGTCTTTTTAACACAGTAAAATTCAATTTTTTGTCTTCACTTATAATATATAATAGTTAACAGAAGGAAAATTATTAATTAGAGTTGATTTTAGATCAGAGTTAATTATAAATATTAATAAGATATCTATAATTCATTTGTCTGATTTTAAATGCTTAAATATTAAATAGTAATGTTAAAAGATTGAGATCTAGCATATTAATAAAATAGAAGCATACAATACGTAAGAAAATAAAATCTTATTGTTGTAATATTGTCAACATATTATGTTACACAAATATATAACTGACTCATTTAGTTCAGTGGATTAAAAATATCCTATTTGAATAACAATATTGTATATTATTATTACATTTCATTTTATAATGTGTATAGTTGGATATTTGTACTTTCAGGTATTCAGGAGATTCATGCTCCTTAAAAAGTATAGATAAAGATGGCAACAGCTGGCATTGGCTGTCACGAACAGAGAGTGGTATGACTAGGAGGGCAGCTCACTCGGCTGTTTATGTCAATCATACAGACTCTCTGTATGTATTTGGAGGATATGATCTGAATAAGGTTTTAGGTTTATTGGAGGTTTATAGGTGAGTAATCAGCTAAAATTATATTGCAGGTTTTCATTATGAATACTGAAATATATAAATAAATGTAATTACAATGTTGGCTTGTAATGATGGCATCAATTGTGGCTTTTAGTGAACATTTTAGATAACATTTGTACTATTTCAAAATTTAGTTTATTTCAATTATACCTTCAATCTTATATATACATAATAAAGTATATTCCACATAGACCATTATTTATCATATTAAAAAAATAAATATATATTATGCATATTATTTATTTGCAGTTTTTCTACTAGTCAATGGTATGATGAAAATGGGAAAGTTGTGAGAAGGTATCCCACAAATGAAGAAATTGATAAATCATTGTTGACGCTTTTCAAGAAGGTAAATATTTTTAATGTACTTGTTTCATTAATAATACAGATAAGATAAATAGAAGTTTAGTTGAAAATTATATTTATGAGATCTAAATATGTAATATGTTCTTTTTTTACTAAATAGTATTTTAACAATAGGGTCACATTCAGTTTATTGTAAAAAGGAATATACTATAAATATAACAATACCTATAAAATTTGCAGGGTGTTCTTAATGATAGTTGGCACATAGGCAATGGAAGTTCATTGTTTACATTAATTCTATCATCCTTCTCTAACAATGACAAAACCACATTTCCTGTTATGTATACTCATTCGCCTGCACCATACTCAGAGAGCTATCTGCATTTTACTGATAGACCAGAGATGTTTAATTCAATGAAATCAAATTATACAAAACCTGAGCCACGGTATGGTCACTCTGCATGTGCATTTGGGACGGGTTTTGTTCTATATGGAGGAAAACTGTCAGATGGGAGTCTTTCTTCCGAGTTGTGGTTTTTTGATGCAATAACAAATAGATGGACATTACGGGCTGTCAATTCGACATTCATTCCACCTGGACTCACAAGACACACACTGACAGCTGTGAAAGATGAGTTATACTTGTTTGGAGGAAGTACAATGGAAGGAGAATTTTCTTCCAGGTAATTTCTTTTTTCCATATCTTCGCATATGAATATTCATAACACAGTTACAGGTGTAGTTTAATTAATTATGCCTTTTCTTTCAGTATGTATAAAATAAAATTAGGCGATGTGAATACAGAATTTTGGGAAAAAGTTCAAGTTAGGGGTGGAAAAGAACTGGATGTCCGTGTAGTGGCACACACTGCTGTTTATCATTCCCATTCTAATTCCATTTTAGTCTATGGAGGTGTTGTTGCTAGCGTTGCAAGGTATGTATTTTTAGAAAAGACTACTTACAAACATATTTTGTTTACCATTTATTTTGACAGTAATAACAAATAAGAAACAAATAAGGCCAAGAATTACATTTAATACTTGGCCTTATTTGGTTTTTTAAACTTTTTAAATATTACAAACGAAGCAGTCCTAATAAGCTACGAAGGTGGTGAGATATCAGATTAGTAGGTATTAGAAATGATAATTCAAGAATAAATAAAGGTCCGGTAATTTCGTGAAGATTACCGGACGACAGGTCAAACTGGGCGTGATACATCGCCCTATAAAATTTAATACTACCTGAATGTTTCAGGTTAAATTAGCTTATTAATTATATTGTGATAATATTTGCAGGTTTTCGAAATTGTCGGATAGGATGTTTGCGTTTGATATAGACTATAGACATTGGAGTGAAATACATTACCCGAGAGCACATTTAAGAGATACATATGTTCCACGAGAAAGAGCATTTCATACTTCAACTGTTATTGGTAAATATGTATAAAGTGCACATAATAAGAGAATTAATACTATAAATTTTATAATTAACATTTTTTGTTATTTTTAGGCAATTATCTCGTTGTTTTCGGTGGCTACTCTCATAGACATAACAGAGAAGAAATATGTTACGACGGTCAAATGTATTTGTACCATCTTGGATGCCATTCGTGGATTCCGTTGGATGTGTTAGGAAAACACCAAAATTCTATCCAAAGAAACAGGGTGTATTCGCTCACGCGGCGGCGTTAAAAACTCCATCTACTTTACTAATAGCCGGAGGATATCACGGCAATGTCAATGGTATGAAAAACATGTCGATTATAACTTGATTGCTCTGACATTGCGCCGATATGAAAGTGTTGAGTAATTGATAGTAATTACCGTAATACAGAAAAAGAGGTCAATGCTTTTTATAACTAAACAATTATTGCATTGTATTCTTATACAAAGCGGATTCAATGCGTTTATTTATCTCATTTCTATTTGTGTACTTTCGACACTGTAAGTTTAATATTAACCAAATACAAATAATTTTCAGGAGACTTGCTCGCATATGTTGTTCCTAGTTGGCAAGCAGGAATTACCAACAATAATCCAGAGTCGGCGTGTCCCCGACATCAGACGCAACCTGAATGTCTCGCGGACCCTGAATGCGGCTGGTGCTCTGCTGATGACGTTTGTATACAGTTTTTATCACATTAACTGTAGGAAATAAACTTTATTATATATTATAATGCCATTGACATAATAATGTTGTGATGCGCCGTGCGGTGTATAAATATAAGATCGCAGAAAATGCAATACCCTGTCCTGTATATATTTGATCTAAGCTCTGAGGCCATTATAATACTAATTTGACGCCGCCCCTAAGTTAATATTTTTTTCTCTTTATTTTGTATTAATATATGTAACAATTATAAAACTTAATTAATGGAACCGTCCATCTATCACAAAAAGAAATAATTGGTAAATTAATTGAGCTGAGCATTGTATTTGATATACTATTATTATATCATGTTTATAATTATTAGTTATATTAAAAAGTTCTCAGTTCAGGCGAAGAGGTGCTATGATATTGATAACGTTACTAGTATTAAAATGGGATTTTTTATTATCTCTAGCGTCTTGCATAGAGACAGATAATTCAAATTATTTTTATAATAACCGATACTGCAATTTCGTCTCTGCTATAAATATGTTATATATACACCTATACCTTTCAGATATGTTATGGACGGACAAGTGGATCGAATTGCACACCGAATTTGCAATCGATACGATGTGGAGGTATATGTCCAGCTCTCGGCGATTGTCACTCTTGCCTCATTCACGGACCACCGCTAGGGGAAAATAGTACGCGAACGGCTTTACCGTCAGTCAGCACAAAACTAGGATTATTCAAATGCAGTTGGTGTGTTCAGAATGCTCGCTGTCATCATAAAAATGGTAATACAGATTTCATTGGGAAAGTTATTTTAAATAAAGAATATTGCAGAGCAGACGAATCCAATGAATTTTACTTAACATGTAAATATTCGCCTCTTATAGACTTATTCGTTTTTACGGTAGTATTTAGATTGTTACAAGTTTTAGATTTAATACTATATGAAACCACTTCGCCATCATAGTATACATATTCTGTTTACTATACCTATAGAAACAAGAAAGATTAAAACATAATATGTATCTTTTTAGACAATTATGGTGTTTGTGGAGAAGATACCCCATCCGAAAATCCAGGCTGGTGGGGTACGACGGGAACAGAAGTAACAACCCCGGAAGAATGTAAAGTGTTAGATAAACGACCTGGACTTACTTTCTTAAGATACCAGCAGCCTGCTGACTGGAGTCACCCTGACGCCGTATCAGTGGTGAATGCCACCACAGTTGATTGGGGGACGGGTGGAGGAAGTAATCATATATTTAGTGGATCAAGTGAAGCCAGATTAAGAGGTTGGCTGCATATACCCCAATATTGGAATGGAACAGGCGAAACATTACACATATGTGCCGGATATTCCAATATATCATTAAAATTAGGAGATAACACCAGCTCGGCAGCTAATCTGACAGCGCAGCCATCGGCCTGCTCACTAGTCGATTGGCCGACCTTGTTTCCGGGACGACTCTCAGTTGATATGCATGCTAATGATTCATTGCATACAGGTTTATATCCATCTCATCATCATGCCAAAATGGAGTTGCTTCATAATAAATCGCAAGAGAGTGCAAAGGTTATTTTGATTGATTTACTACTTCATATGTATTAATTTATACAACATCAGCCTTGAATAACTATTTATTTTGTTGGCAGGTATTCACATTTGAATTTCTGGAACCCTATTCGGATGGACAATGTTCAAACTATGGTAACTGCTTACTATGTCTATCGGATGCTGCTTGTGGATGGTGTGAATTGACGAATCGCTGCGAGCTCAGGAATACTGACGAAACGGACGCGTGCGCCGCCGACGGCGAGTGGAGGTATCTCACACTTCAACCGGCGGCCTGTCCCAACTGTTCGAATTACATAAGCTGCGAGCGGTGCGTGGCGGGCAACTACTGCGAGTGGTGGGCGGACGAGGCTCGCTGCGCCCGTCGCGGCCGCGCCGGCGGAGCCATCCTCGACACCAGCGAGTGCCCCGCGCCCTGCCGCATGCGGCTCGACTGCGAGCACTGCCTGGACGAGCGCGGCCGCTGCGTCTGGTGCGAGGCCACGCGCCAATGTTTCAGCTTTAGTGTCTATACGAGCGAATATCAGTTCGGGTTATGTCGCGAGTGGCTCGACCGCGCGTCGACTCCGACTGATGATGCCGCTCGGAAATCGGGACAGTGCAAGTCGTGTCAGGGCCACACACAATGTTCTACATGTCTACGAAGCATGGGATGCGGTTGGTGCCACTCCCACGAGAACCCAATTAATGGGATGTGCACTGAGGGTGATTTTACCAGGGCTCACATCGATTGTGCATCTCTGTTAAATGTTACGTCGTCTGATGCAGGTTGGGCCTACGCACAATGTCCTGATGTCGACGAGTGTGGACTTGGTCTTCACGATTGTCACGAACATGCCGTATGTAATAACACTCATGGATCGTACACGTGTAAATGTAAACAGGGTTACATTGGTGACGGCAAGAAAAGCTGTATGCGAACTTGTTACAACAATTGCATACATGGGTATTGTCTTGGGCCTCCACAGTACAAATGCTATTGTGACTTAGGATGGACCGGGGCGGACTGTTCCATTAATTGTGGGTGTCATAATCACTCTACATGTCGAACTGGTGTAGGACGTTGCGACGAATGCCAGGATTGGACTGAAGGAGAATTTTGTGACACATGCAAGCCCGGTAGCCATGGCAATGCTACTACCGGACAGGGATGTAGGCGCTGTGATTGTAATGATCACGGCGATGAGACAAAAGGCATTTGTGATGTCGCAACAGGAGAATGTATTTGCAAAGATAATACTGAAGGTCAGAATTGTGAACGATGTAAATCTAAATTTTATGGGGATCCGCGACATGGTGGAAGATGTTACTATCAGTGTGAACCTAGAGGTATGTTAAATGCTTCTGACACAGAAGGTATTGGTTCTTATAAAACAGACCCAGACATTAAAACAATTGGACCATCCAAAGAATGCCTCTGGATTATATCTGCCGAAGATATCAAAGATGCTATAATTCAGTTTACGATAAACTCGTCTACGTTCGACGTACCTTGTGATGAGAATGCTGTGTACGTGTACGATGGACTTGGTGGTGTTCCAGATATGAGCAATAATCAGCAGAGCCAATTATTAGGTGTTTTTTGTAATGGAGCTTCCTCTGGAGTCGTGGAAGCACGAAGTGGAAATTTGACAGTCCATTACAAACAGGGACAAGCAGAACAAGGCTTTGAAGGAGTGTATAAAGTCTTAGCATGTGAAGGATATTGTACATGGCCGAGGGTTTGCAACAAAAGACATTGTGTGTGTAGAGAAGGCTATGGGGGAACAGATTGCGAGGTTGAGATATGTAGGAATAATTGTAGTGTATCTATCAATGCAGGTATATGCGACACAAGTTACGGCCGATGTCTTTGCAATGAAGGTTATGGTGGCGCTGATTGTTCTACTAAATTGGATAACACGCAACTAGTCTTTACAGAACTTTTTAACTCAGAATATTTGTCAGATGGTCTAGATCATTTAAGGAAAACATTGCCAAGATTTGGACATAGTTTAGTTGCCGACAGACGTGGATTGTGGATGTTTGGAGGCTATTCTCTTTCTCATGGGCCTTTAAATGACATAAGGTTTTTCGATACTAAAAATAACACCTGGATGCAAGTTACAGTAGAAGCTACTCCTGATGCTAAAATGCCTGAAGGCCGATATTTCCACGCAGCCGAGATTTATCATTCCAAACAAAACATTTATATTTACGGCGGTCTAAGTTTGCAAGAGAAAAGCGTTCAAAATAAAACATTAGGTGATTTCTGGCAATTCAGTTTGAAAGACCAAAGGTGGAGTAACATTAAAAGTAAAGACGAGCAACCACCACCTCTTGCTGGCCACACACTCACATTGCAAAAATATCAAGACTACGAGAGTTTGGTCTTAATTGGTGGGTTTTCATTAGAGCAAGGTTTTATGGCTAATATGTGGGAATTCGATCTCGATCATGAAAAATGGATAAAATTAAACTGTGAAGGTTCTAAGCCTGCGGGTATAATCGGACACAGTACTGTGTATCACGCTCCCTCGCAAAGTTTGTATGTGTATGGAGGTATTTTATATGCTTATAATGGAACAATGATGTCTAATAAATTGTTTTCATTACATTATCCAACGAAAAAATGGAGTGAATTGCCAACATTCCCGAATCTGAATCACTTCTATGATAATTTACCACAAGCTACGTATTTACATTCAGCGGTTACAACAAATGATTATATGATTGTATTTGGAGGGAGAACTTATCCTGACCATAGAACCGACACCCTTATTGCTTATATCTATAGCTGCAATCAGTGGGTTAGACTTGTTAAAGGTAGGTTTTAATTTCTGGAAACTAAATTATATAATTTTATTAATTGATAAAAAACTAACATTAATGTGTTCATTTCAGGAGTGAGTATAGTAGGTCATCCACCTCCACCTACAATAGCACATGCTATGGCTATCGATATAGAATCAGAAAATGAAGGATACATTTATATAATAGGGGGATGGACCGGGAGTGCCGATTGTCAAGTCACCCGTATATCTTTGCCCGATGATTTGTGCTCTTTGTGGAGTGCCAGCAAAATGGAATGTCGTAGTCATATGGGCTGTAGTTTTTGTAGCACTGGAAATTATACAAAGTGCTATTCTGTGGACAAGCCTGGGTGTGAAGGAAGCGATCGGGTGTCTACGAATTCTGGTTCATCCTGCGACGCCGAATTAGTTTCTAGACGAGCTTGTGAAAACTTCACTACCTGTACATCGTGCCTAGCTGCTTGGCCCTTATATCCAGAAGAGAAACCTGCATGCCGTTGGTGTGAATCCTGTGCGGCTGCTGTAGGTCAGTACTTTCATTATATTTATGTGAACTGCTTTTGTATTTTTTAACTTTTCTACAGATATTATAAAAATTGTAATTAAAAATTTGTGTGATGATCTGTGGGTTAATATAATGATACTATTAGTCACTCTTTTTCATTTAAGAATATCATCAAAGATGACTAAGGAAATAAAGTTCAGAATGAGGAAAGGAAATCTCTAAATGTATCTATACTAAGCTGCCTGATCATCATGGTAGTGGTCTAACTCCTACTCAAATAGGAGATACCCATATCCAAAAGTAGGATCAATTGTTCATTTTATCTTATTACTAAAATATGTAATTATTTCAGGTGAATGTGTGCCTACTGACGAATCATGTACCAGCATCAAATGCAATGCGGGTACTACATATATTAGTGACGTTGACCAATGTCCAGAACTACGTTGTGTAGCATCCGACTGTGACAAATGTGTATCCAATCAGTGTACATGGACACGACAAGCCAGTAGAGAAGGTATTCTTTAGTTACTTCTTTTTGTAATTATATTCTTTTATTAAGAACTACTAGTTATGTAGACGATCAATGATTGTAGGCCAACAAACAACAATATCTGAGGACCCACTGGAGTTATTCAACTGGACTTGTGCATCCATCGAGGAGGCCGGGCGGGCGAGCCTGCGGCCGACATCTCGTGAGGAGTGTCCCAACCGGTGCTATACGTACGACGATTGCCAGTCGTGCCTGAGCGCGGACGGGGCCGAGGGCGGTTCGTCAGAATGCCACTGGGCGACATACCTGGGCAAGTGCATTTCGCCGGCGCACCAGCCAGTGTACTGCGCGGGCGGCGTGTGCGGGCTGGTGCTCACGAAGGCGGACAAGAGCAAGTGTCCGGCGCCGTGCGGCACGTTCGAGCAGTGCAGCGAGTGCCTGCACCACTCGCACTGCGGCTGGTGCGCGCTGGCCGGCGCCAACGGGCAGGGCGTCTGCACCGAAGGCTCAGTGGAGGCGCCGCTCGACTACTCGACTCGCACCACGTGCGCGGCCGTGTATGACGCCGCACACCGCCAGCGTGATCTCAACGACACCTTCTCGTGGCACTACACTCGCTGCCCGCCGGAGAACGAGTGCGAGAACAACCACCATCAATGTAAAGCGGACTCCGAGGTGAGATACTGAAACTGACTTCGTCTGATAAAACTATGTTAAGTCTGTATGTTATTATTAATCTATATAGTTTGAAGTGGAACAAGAATTTGTTACACACCTATTTGTATGGAAAATTAGATGCAAAAATTAATCAAAGCTTGTACAAATTGATAATGGGTCGGCTGTTTTTTTTTTTACCAATAAAATTAACTACAATTATAAATATATAGGTGTTAAAGTTTAGAAAGAGAAAATTAGGGTAGATAATAAGTCGAACTAGTATACATAGTCATATTACAATAAATCTACTCGGATAACATAAGTAAAATATTGTTCGGACTATTTAATCGGCACCATAAAAGTTATCCGTGGTATATGAACAGTAAAATTGGATTGTTGTAAGATAAAAGAATATGAATGTACGTGTAAAAATTGGTTATACGTGTGTATGGTAGGTGTGCCGCGACCTGCCCGAGGGCTACTCGTGCGCGTGCGGCGCGGGCCACCGGCGCGCGGCGGGCGGGTGCGAGGCGGTGTGCGCGCAGGGCTGCGTGCGCGGCGCCTGCGTGCAGCCCGACGTCTGCCGCTGCGACTTCGGCTACGTCGGCGCCAACTGCACCATCCAGTGCCAGTGCAACGGCCACTCGCACTGCGAGGGGCCCGACAAGCTCGACGTCTGCCTCCAGTGCCACAACAACACCATGGTGCGATCGACTATCTACCTGCATAACCTTTGCGATACCATATTCTGTGTCTGTTGGTTAGTTAGAATTTAGACACGTCATAATTACTATATGTTCGCAACCACTGATATAGAGTATTTTGCGGTATTTTTTCGTTCATGCCAATACAAAGAAAATTTGTTACCTCTTGCCTTAATAGTTCAGCCTCCGCTTGCGAAAATTATGTTGTTTTCTATGGAATGTGGAACATGATAATTTTATACTAAAAGTATGTCATGTCCATTTTATGATTTTACTAATTATTTAAAATATTCCTACGTTTGTTAGTCGTTTACTATATGATACAGTAAACACGGATGATTATGAAATAATTATATTAAAATATACAAACAGTGACTGTCAGTGTCATATTTCAGGTTAAAGTATCAGATTAATGGTATATTAAAAGCCCTCGTAATCGGAAAAACTGACCACTCACTCGCCGTTCACTCGAAATACAGGGCAAACAGTGCGAAAAGTGCAAGCCGAACTTCGTGGGCGAGCCGACCAACAACGGGCAGTGCGTGCCGTGCTCGACGTTCTGCCACGGGCACACGGCGGCGTGCGCGGGCGAGGCGGCGGAGGCGGCGCCCGACGACGAGTACTCCCGCGACGCGCGCGCGCTGCCTGCGCTGCGCCAACCACACCGCCGGCGCGCGCTGCGAGCGCTGCCTGCCCGGCTACTTCCGCGGCTCCGACGACTTCCGCGACCTCTGCCGCCCGTCAGTACCCGGACACGCTCTCTTAACCCCGCTGCACATGCACCGTATTAGTGAACGATGGGGATGACCATGAATATTTTTTAATTTTCGCGTTTAATTTAAATTTTCGTTCTATATTTAGTGTCGCGGTCACGAGTTTACCGAGTCAGTTAGTGCAACCGAGTTGAATCGAAGGTGACCTTTATTTTGCTATAATTCTGAGATATATTTTGAAGCTATATTATTACAGTTCTGAATGAACATCGTACATTGAGTAGACAATTTTAGTCACAGCGTGTATAGTTTAATTATTACAAAAACTAAATAAATTTCTATAATAATAAAAATGTAACAGGTGCGAATGTCACGGGCACGGCGATACGTGTGACCCGGTGACCGGAGAGAAGTGCAACTGCGGGAACAATACCGAGAGCGACATCTCATGCCAGACCGCCAGCTCCAGCAAGAACTCTGCGCAAGAATGCTGGCGATACCAGTGCGTGAAATGCAAGGACCTCTACATGGGTGACCCGAGAAATGGACATCAATGTTACAAGACCATCAATATCGAAAATAAATTATGTTTCGATGGGAAGTCCATAGGTCAGTTTCATTATTACTGATGGAAATTAATAATCCATTGAAATAATTAATAGACGACCTTGTATGCAAAATGTAACATCTTTGGTTCAAACATTGCAAACAATAGTAATAAAATTAAAAAAAATACAAATTATAACAACACTTATATTTCCACTTTCAAATAAGTAGTTGGCTTATCCAATTAGAACATTAATTTGATATAATATTAATGATATTTCATTCCAGACGAATGTAAGATCAAACCACGCCCATTATATCCAGGCCAAACGGTATTCGTAGCCGTAAACCCGAGGTACATGAACGTAGATATACGGGTCATAGTAGACGTCACTCAAGGCGCTGTCGATTTGTATCTGAGTCCAAATGATAGTTCGTTCGTGGTAGCCGTAAACGCAAGCAACGGCGCACACGCAGTGGAGTTAGACCCATCGTACTACAAGCACGAACCGTTCCGCAAGATACCGTCCTTCGACGACCACGTGCCGGACCAACCACGTGTTTCGTGGTGGTACGACAAAATAGAGTACACACTAGCCGATTATAAGGCGAAGGATCTCGCCACTTACGTGACGGTCGACAGGCGAAACATACTGCTTCGAGTGCGCAACCTCCGCAACCGCCTCGTCCTAACCCTGCCCGAGAACGTCCACGACTTAACCCACACAAAGTTCTACATTATCATCAAAGCGAGAAATACGGAAGATGGCGCCGCGAGTTTCGGTGTCACGTTCTTCCGCCAAGATCAACTACACATCGATCTGTTCGTGTTTTTCTCAGTATTCTTCTCCTGTTTCTTCTTATTCCTTGCGGCATGTGTGGTCGCGTGGAAAGCGAAGCAGGCTGCTGACGTGAGGCGAGCTCGACGGAGACACGTTGTCGAGGTAACTACCGTTAATACTGTTCATATTTGTTAAGTTTAATTTCTTCAGGTATTTTTGATCTTTTAATTTTCTTCATTATTAAGTCTCGCCATTCAGTAGTAAATTATTTATTCAATTGCAATCTCATACCTATCCCAAATACAATTACAATTGTTTATAGTTAGCGGTGGTTAGTAGTAGTATAGTTAGTAGTTATTTGTTTATTTTAGTTGTTAAAGACACCATAACAATATAATTGACAATTTAAAAAGACAGAGATAAAAGGAATAAATTAAGAAGAAGATAAATATGTTATTGAAGTGTGACTAAGTAAATAACTTCTGTTACAGTTATGAACACAGGTCACCATGAACCAGTTTTTAGATAGGGCTTTATATTTTTATGTATTTAAGTTTAGATTAAAAATGTTTACATCATTATCAATAATAATACCATAAAAATGGTCTGTCATTCTGTATAAAAAAGGATTTTTATTCTATACTTAATAGTGCACAGAAGAACAAATAAAGAAACCGGTTGTCTTCGATTGAACGTCGGTACTTTGAAGTTTATGGTTATACAATTAATCCATTGACCGTCCTTGTGCATCTCTTCTTTTATACCACAACAATAAAGCTATCATTTCCGTAGTAACCGATGGCAGCACGCATATTGTCAGTGTTCAGTGGCATTTTTAGCGATTGGTCACGCGTTTGGTGGTGTCCCAGATGCTGCACATGGCGAAGCGTCCGTTCGCGGCGGTGACCGTGGTGGTGAGCGGCAGCAACGTGAAGGTGGGCCGCCGCCGCCCGCCCGACCTGCGGCCCGTCGCCATCGAGCCCACCGGCGACGGCCGCGCCGCCGTCACCACCGTGCTCGTCAGGTAACCAACACATACATATCTGGTAACCTATAACCTATAATATTTCCTTTAGTACCTTCGACATGAACAGTACCACGGATCGTGTAACTCTCCTGATATTATTCACGAAATGCTTTTCTAAAGGACGAAGATGTAATCCCTCGTATATTATAATTTCATCTCACCGCCTTATTCATCTCTTCGACCGAAACACATCTTACATAATAATTTACATGACTACAAAAGTAGGTGATATCACCTATGTAAACGATTTAAAATCTCTTACTCCTTGTTTGGAGTTTATACTATTAGAATTTATATATTTTAGTTTGTACTACTGAATTGTGTAACTACCTGCCGAGGTTCTCTGACTGGGGTTTTCAAGAAAGGTATATTAAGGTTTCTTAAGGATATACGCGCAGCCCTAGCAGTTAAGGCGTCCATAGGCTACGGTAACCGTTCACGACTACCACGTTACGTTTACCATCAGATGGACCCTAGACTCGTGTGCCACCATCGTAGTATTAAAAAAAGTGTGTAGAATAAAAATGTGTTGAGAAATGAGTGGTGTAAGCGTGGTGCGCCGGTGGTGCAGGTTGCCGGGCGGCGCGCGCGCGCCCGTGCGGCTGTCGCTGGCGTCGTCGCTGGTGCTGGTGTCGCGCGCCGCGCCGCCCCGCGCGCGCCCGCGGCCCCCGCGCCTCCCCTCGCACCCCGCCTCCGCGCGCATCGCGCTCAACACCTAGGCCTCGCCGCCCGCCGCACGCGCTCACTATCACCCACCCATACCTTCATCGACTGGTTGTTCTATTACTTCGATTATTACCTGCCTTTACGCGTACGCTCTTTCACGCAGAATGTGTATGTAAAAGTAGACAAAAAAGAGAATACCCGCGCGCGCCTCTTTATAATAATTAATTCATATTGCAGAATGAAGGACATCTGACTATATATAGAATAGAGACAAATATTATTATTTGTAAAATAAAAACAGTGGAATAAAATAATTAATTTAACAAAAAGTAAAATAACTTGATTTGGCGCTTCTCATGCGCGAAAGAGTGATCACAAAAATAGTAAAATCAACCACACACGATTGCGCGCGCTGGCTTTCCCGCGCTAATTCTGATCGATTGAGTCTGTAAAGGCAGTAGTCATAATTTATTTATAAAAAATGCCGAAGTACCTTCAGTTAACACAATTGTTAAGTACTCCACTCCCCGCCTTATACATATTTATCTAACTAAAGGGTGTTTTCAGCACTATTTTTATTTACAATCTTTACGACCATATGATCACCTTTTTTAGCATTTGTAGGTATACTAAATTATTTTTATTTTACTATGTTGGCAATATTTCGGTATTCTTTTTAAATATTCAGTCTATTTGTTTAATATACGTAACGGATGCCGAACTTGCTGTCAATTAGTTCACTGCTGATTGCATAATGAATATGGCGAAAAGACCTACGTCACGAGTTGGCACTGATGAGTTAATGTATCTTTATCAATACCTCTCCTTCGCCCCACCCTGCTATTTGCGCCGTGCCCAGCCATGCCACGGGCTTTCGCCATAATTAGTACATAAAAATGTGTGCTATATTCTCAAAATAAGTACTAAGTAGTTGAATTAATCACATCGATATCTGTAGTACCTACACGTAACTTCTCTGGAAATTACAACAAATTATATTATTTTTAATATCTATAATGAAATTATTTTAGACTATATTATCTAAACTGACTATGGTATTCAATGCTTATTTTTGAGTAAATGTAACAGTTTTTAATACTCCATTGATATTATTATTGTCATGAACTGTATCTGCGATATGATTTTTAATAAGAGGTTTTGAATATGCATTTTTTTTCGAAGATGGTATATATATATATATATATATAGGTATATATGGATATTTTATGTTTTCATCTCTTACAGATCATATATAAATGACTGTCCTGTAGTTTATGACCCCTTGACGTTTTAATTACACCTCGCACTTCTACTTACACCATTTCGTTAAGGGTATCAAATACATGAACTTAAAAAAAAGAAGTTGCCTAGCAGCATAAATATGACCGAGCGCATTTTAAAATTTACTCCTCATTTCACGCTACAGATTCTAATGAGATTGGCTGTACTAATTATTATTACTCGAAAAAATAGAATAACTTAATTTTAAGAAATATATTGTTTTATGTTTTGTATATTTTGTATCTAAGAATAATTGAATTGGTCTCCAATTATACAATGTGTGTTAATATTATTATATAATTAATATTTATACTTTGCCATTAATTTATTTTACATTGCCTGAAATATTTTAGGTAATATCTGCTGTAATATTATTATCAACAATGTCATGAATGAGCCAAAGGAATCAAAATTGTTGCGCCGTCTCCGCGCGGGTTGTGAATAGCCGGTAGTAGGTAGATCTGTTGTGTTAATTATTTCAAAATTTTATTATGAATGTTGAAATTCTATTATAGGCTTGTTATTATTAATGAATTGTGCGTACACAAACTTAACATGTTTATTTACACGTTGACGCGTAATTAATTATTATGTATGTTAATTATATTGCATTTTCTGAAAACTTTCCTTTACATAAAGGATATCTCCTTATTGGATTTTATCATTGTTTATAACTCGCTTAAATTCTATCTTTAGTCTTGTGACGTATAAACAAGAAGCCATCATGGTTGAGGCGAAATTTCGTATAGCACGATATTTTCTCTAGAATATGCCGCTATAGACTGTAAGGGGGTGGAAATTGCCACTTGTTACCGTCCAATCCGCTCCCAAAACCGCGGTAACGGTTGTAACCGTGCAAGAAATGCATCATCCTGTAATATAAATCCAATATTTCAAATGTATTTAAAGAAAAAGCCATACCGGTGCAAATTATAATTTATTTATTATTATTTTCTCTCATGTCGGTTTAAAGAAATCCTGTTTCAGTAAACCTGTACTTTCAAATTTTATAATTTTATAGCTCTACTTTTGAATTTCCGTTCTATTAGTCGGTCAGAGGTTTAGTTTAAATTTATTTATATAAATAAGGGAAATGAACATAACACCTTGTAACCAGAAACTTGTAAAACTCTATTTAGTTTTTACGAACCATTTGCATTATCTTTGTTCTATTACGAGTGCCGGCGGCCTAATCAGGTAACACTTTACTAACAATTCTTGATTAAAACATAAATCTCAATAGAAATTTACTCTAATATCAATAGAAATTTACCACAATACCATTCCACATTTGCAGTTACTTGCTATACAACTTAGCTTACTAATTTAACATTTGTAACTCTGAAATGGTTTATAAAAAATATGACCACACAACAAACAATTGAGGATTGTAGGTAAGAGCTTTATATAATTCAGTTCCTGGACTTATAATATTTTACATATATAAAAAAATGAATGGCTTTTATTACAGGACGCAACTATATTCTTACTCATGTATTCATGAAATATTGATGAATGAATTATGTCATAAAATATATAAGAAGTAATAAATAATATTTCTCACGATTCAGTTTAAAAGGCTGTACATCTATTCGTCTGTATAAAATTGGTATTTAGGATCAATAGTTATTAGTCGATTTATCGAAAGTTCTTAGTAAAAAATTATAAATTCACGTTAGAAAAATCGAATAGTGATTTATATAAAACATTGTAAATCACGAATATAATTATGTAAAACCGTGTCGTAATTTTATTTTATAATCTGCAAATAATATAAATATACATATATGTATAATAATTTAGCTACTCAACATTTTCTTACCCAAAATATATTGACTGGGAAATGTTATTTATTTTATTATATTCTTTATATGCAACATTTAAATATATATTATATATAAATTAGATGTAACATTTCTAATAGCTTCAGTTATTGGTCCTTTTAGTAAAATAAACACAAGAAATATTAGTTTAGATGTCTTTTAATGATATCATTAGAAAATTTAAAGTCATTAGAATATCTGTAACTCTATTAGCGAAAGAATTAAATGAATTTTTATTGCTCAGTAGTAAACAACAGTATTGTGTAAATGGATTGATCAATTATTTGACTTGTAAGTAGAGTTATTTTGAATGGAGCCGTAGTCAGGGGTATGGAAAATGTTGTCAAAGGCTTTTATTATTTTTTTCTTACCATAGAATAATTTATACAAATTATATTTCAGACTATGGCCCTGTTATTAGGTGTAATTTAAAGTTAAGTTAAAATAATTATTATAGAAATCATTTTAAGAGAGTACTGATATTGTTATAACTATTTTAATAAGTTAAACATAATCAAATAAATGGTATTTGATCAAAAGTCCAAGTCCAAATTACATTCCAATTGTATATCTTTGTACATATGTAATAATATAAAATATTGGTCATGCATTGAACAGCTTTAACGATGCTATACCTACTAAGATATTATAAATTGCTCATCTATTCTATACGAATTTTCTTACTATACATACATTCAAGGCATTTAAGTACATGTTATATATTTGGTATAGGTGAATTAGTAGGTGAGTTCGATGGTTTTACTTTTACATTTTAAGCATTTAATTTCGAATTTAAATCTGAGAAAGGTATGGTCATCTCAATATTAACAGTACATTACATTGAATAAGTCTTACCCTTTTGACATATGAGGTACCATGAATTATTTTGTAATATTTGAAAAGATACCTTACTACATTATATTTTTATATGCATTATGTATTATTAAGTAAAGTACCAAATTTTATTTAAAAAAGAAATAAATTATCATATTAAAAGATACATATTTTTACCTGTATTGATTTTAATGTATTGCAATGCATTGATTTTAATATATAATTAAAATATTGCAATGGCAGCTTAAATTTCAAGTTTAGTATATTATCTATGATATAATTACATTATCGATAGTCCTATAGTTCTTTTAATATCTTCATCTTCATTTCATTTACTCACATACCTAATTGCTCAAAATTTATTTTATTCTGTTTATAGCTCAATACTACAATATATTTATATAAAATATGTCTATACGAATACATGTTATTACTGTATCTAATAAGTAAATTATAGAAAACATCTTAGTATTTATCAGTATTAATATTTTATTACGTTCTTGAACACCAATAACTTGGAAAACGTGTGGATGTGTTAGGAGATTCAATAGAAAAACATTGAATATCCTAATGTATCTACACTGCCAAAATAATATTGTTATGATACTAAATCTTTGTGAATTAAATTTGATGGTATTTTTATTTTAAGGGGTCCATTGCTAATGAATTTAGACTCGAGTTTAGATCTGTTTGTCCATACAATGTATTATTTTGCTGGAAATAAAAAAAGGATGAAAGATCTGTTACTATTATTTGATGTTTTAATAAAGAGTAATATTCTTTAAAGTTTAGATTCTAGTTTCTTGAATAATTAAATATTATTTAGCTACTTGCTAATAATACCTACAAACATACAATGAGTGATGTTATTGTTTTGTAGTATTTTCAAAAAACAGCATTTTATCTATGTATTATAAATCAGGGTGTAATGAATTTTCTTTATAATTTCGTAACTGTGAATAAATACTGTGATATTCTCACAAACCACACATTTCTGTTAAATTGTGATATCATAGACTTTTGTCTCAGCTTATCCTTTTATTTTCCTATTTTATCATCATGGATATACAAATATTAAATAAATATATTGTTTTATCAATCGTTATTGTAAGTGATAACAATTATAGATTTGTCAATTTTCGACATATTTAAGTGAGCGGTTGCCTGTGCTTGCATCACTGTGGTTATGTGGTAACTGTGACCCCATGACAGAATCTCTAGTTTGACTTAATTCATGACATCAATTAGAAATCATGGCAGTATTATATCTAAGCAATATATTATATATATTTGTTTAAGCTAATTGTATAAATGTTTATAAATAAAATATACTGTTGGTTGTAAAACAAATTTTATTTCGATACCATTGAGTGAAATTCTAACAAGTCTACTGATCTTTTTGTGTTAAAAGATGTGTTTTAATTTTCTGTAGTAATTCTTTCTTCACTGTGTCGGGGACTAATGCTCGAGCACGAGGCGTGACCCTTGTCACCAACATATCAAAAGTGACATTGCTGCTCTCATTTTCCTTAACTATCTCACGACACAACATTCTCACTTGATCTCTCCAGCCACATTCAATTAAACGTCTTCTCAATAATTCTTTGAATCTGAAACATGAGAATTCTTGCACTGCTTAAGTGATTATTGATATTAAAAAGTACTATTAACGAATATGCTCACCTTTCTCGGTCCCCACTTAATATTAAGCGTTGATGTGCAATTGTATTATTAACAGTCATGTCGGCTCCTAAAAATATAAAAAGATAGAAATAATTTTTGACAATATTTTGTTGACACACATTTATATAATACTAGCAGGCCCGGCACTGCGCTGGTGTGGGTAAGGTTCTTGCATAAAATAATATTGCGACGCGAAAGTTAAGATGTTACCTACCCTACCTTTCAATTGGGATGAACACAATGTGAAAAAAAAAAATTGCAATAGGTAGTTTAGGAGTCCAACGCGGACAAACAACGTGACACGTATTTTTTTTTATATAAAGATGTTACTGTTGTTACTAGAGAAAATGTCTATTTTTATTAAGGTTAAAGAGCCTATCTCCATTCTCAAGATACTATAACGATTAAGAGGCATTTAGCCTGTTCATGAAAATAGCCCTTTAGTCACGAAAACGTACATACAGATACACTTTGGCAAATATAATAATAGTATGGAATGTTAGAGCTAAGCAGACAAGCCATTTTAATGACAGGTAACTGGTATAAAAATAATATCTGTATATTTATTTACCATTTTCTATAAATTTGGTAAGGATAATAGAGGATAAGGATATGACATGTATTTATACTTTTGCGTTAATTTATTTTACTTACTTTTATAATAAGGATTCAAGAAATTTATTTCTTATAACAAATAATTTTCAGTGGTGTGGGTGTGGGTAATATGTTTCAAATATTTTAACTTATGTTCTTATTAAGACAATACCATTGATAAATCTTCAATGTTTTGTTATTATTTTATTTCTAATGAAACAAATACAATTATCAATTAACTAACCTATGTTTAATAATAACAAACAAGATAGAATTGTTTGTTGCAGTCATTTCATAATTTTATATAAGACGAATAAGGGAAAAAAAAATCATAATTTTATTTGACATACTGACACAGACTGACACTGAAATGACCCTAAAGTATATGAATGTGACAGTGACAACATGATTTATTTTCTTCTTGTATGGCAGCAAAAATGTTTAAAATTTGTGTTTTTAATATATAAAACTTGGACTAAGTTGGATTATTTTTTAACATTTAGTCATTTGTTATTTATTCACTATTATAGAATTTTGGGTAGATTAGTAGTTATGGTGTTAGTACTAGCATGGTACACTTAAAAATATGTGTTAACGATTTTATATATACAAAAACATTGAGCCTAGATTCTTTTCTATCTGAGAAACTCTTACTACGGTTTAGTAAAATGTGAGAAACTCTTACGTTAATAAATATTTTTGTTTTTTATTACCTTTCTCTATAGCAATCATGAGAGAATAAGAAAATGACTAACAGATTAGTGATAAATGACAATGACACATTGATTGACAGATTGGTTTATTGGTATAAAATAAAAAAATAAAAGTAATTTATTTTGTTATTGTGTCTATTTATGAAAAAGCGCGGGAACTTTCAAAGCGACTACACGTATTTTTTCGCGCTAGTTTTGCAAAATTATATTTTATTGAGTTTTTTTTAGTCAAAACCAGTAAAGATGACGAAGAGGAGCGGGAAGAAGCGAAAAAAGAAAGAGGAAATATCGGATGATACATCCGATGATATTAATTTTCTAGGGTCTGACTCGGAATCGGCACCTGAGGATGTGGATAAGTATAAGGCATTTCAAATACCAGATTATGTTCGGTACTATCCTGAGGATGGTGGAAACTTTGAATACATTGTATTTATGGAGAGTACAGATAGTAATAAGCCAATCGGTGATAGGGATATGATGTCCTTAGCTACTAATTTGAAAAAATACAATAAAGGAGTTAAGCAATTATTAAGGATGAATAAATTTAAGATCGGCGTCATTTTTGAACGCCCCGGTTTAGCTAATGCAGCCTTAATTAATAAAAAAATTCTAGACGGATTTAAATTAAAGGCAAGTATACCAGCTTCAGCCACGGAAGTAACTGGAGTAGTTCAGCATGTTCCTACGCATCTATCGAACGAACAAATATACTCTAATATAACCAGCTCAAAAAATATTGTTTGTGTACGCAGATTCATGAGGCGTATTAAAGGTGATGATAACACCTTTACAATGCAGCCAACTAAAACCGTCTCCATCACATTTTCCTGTCCTGTACTTCCTGACACCGTCGACCTGAATAGCTGGCGCTTTGTGGTGAGGCCTTATATACCTCCTGTAAAGCAGTGTCTTAAATGTTTAAGGTATGGTCACATCGCTAAGTTTTGTAAGAACGCTGAAAGATGCTCAGTATGCGGAAATAATCATAATTTCAGAAACTGTTCGGCAAATATTAACGAAGCCAAATGTTGTCACTGCAATGGTAATCATATAGCCATTTCATCACAGTGTCCTATTAAGAAAAAGAAAATAGAGGAGAATAAAAATAAAGTACAAAGTTATGCTGATATTGTTAGAGAGAAATCATTTCCTCAATTAGGCAGTACCAAAACTTCACCTTCGGCACAATTTATATCCCTACTTAATTCTGACCAAATTTTAAATACCCTATTAGAATCAATTGTTAAAATTATAACATTGAATAGAACCAATGACAAAACAATATGTACAGAAAATATAAAACAAGTTCTCCTAGAGACATTACAGAATAAAAAAAAAACCCAGATTAATCTTTCTTTATTTAATTTTTTATTTCTTTATGGACCATATAGTAATAGTCCAGTGGAATGCACAAAGTTTAGTAAGTAATCAACAAATCTTTACACATTTTCTATTGGAGAACAATATTAATATTGCTCTGATATCAGAAACCTGGCTAAAAGCCTACTATAAATTAAATATTAAAGGCTTTAACATTGTTAGATTAGACTCAGGCAATGACCATAACGGCGTTGCAATTTTAGTTCATAAAAGTATAGAATTCAGTAAAATTGATACATATAGTGATGATTCCTTACAGAATATTGCGGTACGATTAAAATATAAAAACACAGAAATGTCAGTTGTTAGTTTTTATAGCCCAAATAATTGTAGTCCACGTTTTAACAAAAATAAATTCAGTAATCTTCTTAATAGTATTCCAGAACCCATGTTGGTTGCTGGTGATTTTAATGCTCATCACACAGCATGGGGTTGCTCGTCTATTAATGCTCGTGGTCGTGACATTCTTGAATGTATTGATGGTAACAACTTGGTCATCTTAAATGATGGTACACCGACTACAGTAGGATCACACAGATGGCAGAGTAATGCACTTGACCTTACTATTGCATCCCCTTGCTTATCTCTTGCTTCAAATTGGATGGTACATAATGATCCCTTAGGTAGCTACCATTTACCTGTAATAACAAAAATAGTAATTAATAACAATTGCACTAGATTACCAGAATCCTCAGATTATCCCAAATTTCATAATTACAATCTTATAGATTGGACCAAGTATAAGAAGACCACAGATAGTTTGTTACAAGATTTTACACTTTACACTTATAGTAATTCACCCCTGCAGTGTTATACTAAATTAATTGATATTTTCAATTTAGCTCTAGACAAAAGTTGTATATCAAAATCAAAACCCATAAACTCTACAACAGATATTCCTTTTAAAAATAAAAGGATTCCATTACCTTGGTGGAATGAAAAATGTACACTTGCAGTAGATAACTCTAAACAGGCATATGTTAATTTTAAAAAGAACCCATCAGAGGCAAATTATGTTACATTTAAAAGGTTACAAGCCAAAAAAAAGTTAATACTTAAAAAAGAACAATCAATTAGGTGGAATAATTTTTGTGAAAATTTTAATCGCACCACACCCATTTCGAAAATTTGGAATACTGTTAAAAAATTCAATAAAACTTATGTATATAGTCAGATTTCAAATAAAAATAACTGGATTTCAGATTTTCTTAAGAAATATACTCCTGACACTGTCGAGACCCAATTTAAATCACACATTAATGAAAATAGTAACAAATTAAATTATTTAAATAAACCCTTCTAGTTAACTCTGCCGATGCCGGTCCCAAGCCCGGATGAAAAAAGAGGAGGGTTGGCTGAGAACGACGAAATATATTTAACATCATGTCAGTCATAAAAAATTCGTCAACGCCGAGCCATGGGCGGCGGTTAATTATCCCATAAAAATGGTGATCGAGAACCAAGAGGAACTAAATAACCTCTAAAAGTTCGAGGACAGATGCTTGGGAAACGTCTGCTACTATGCTCCCACCTCTCTCTTATGAATACATGGAAAATAATGAATGTGATATGTCATGCGAACCGGCTAACCCCCGGCGCTCTCTGGTACCCGGGCCAGAGAGTGTGAAATTAGCTACCGAAGACTACATAGAGGTGAGTAACCAGGCTTCTATGTCAGTGAATGCTACTGGAAAAAGATTTGTTCAACAGGCTTTCCACCCAAGCTTGTTTGTGAATAGACAAAGAAGTCAATCTCTCGGAAATAGACCGCAAATGGAAACTTCTATCACAGCTCCCTCAACAAAAGAAAAGAAAAGCCTAACACCGACTAATGAACTGACTAAAAACACACCTTGTCCTCCTGAATGGCAAAGAGTTCCAATAGCTGGTGCTAACAAACGAAAAAAGTTATCACAATCGCCATCGCCTGAGACAATCAAAACCACCAACAGGTACAGCGCGCTGCAGATTGACCTGACAGACGACGAACATGAACCCAAACAGAAACATCCAAACAAACCTCCACCTATTATTTTATATGGCATAGAGGACATAAACAAATTAATTGAATTAATCAACACTGTTGCAGATAAAAATGATTATATAATTAAAATTATAAATAAAAATCAATTAAGAATAAATTCCCTAGATATTGAAGCTTACAAGAAAATTATAAGCCTAGTTCGTGAAAAGGGCCTTATAGGCCACACATTTAACAGAAAGGATCAACGCTGTTGCCGATTAGTAATAAAGAAGCTCCATCATACAACTCCGCATAGTGCTATAATCGAGGAAGTCGAAAAAACCGGAAATAAAGTCCAAGGGGAAATTATCAACATTAAGTATGGTCCCGAAAAAAAGCCGACATCAACTTTCTTCGTTAACCTCACGCCTGGCCCAAATAACGGTGCAGCTAAATCAATAAAATCGATTAATAATCAAATTATTGTAATTGAAGAGCCTAAGAAAAGAAACACAATACCTCAATGCCAAAGATGTCAGCAGTATGGACATTCAAAAAACTATTGTATGCGGCCATTCAGGTGTGTAAAGTGTGCACAAGATCACAAAACATCGGATTGTCCAAAAAAGGACCGAAACACCCCCGCCACCTGTGCATTGTGTGAAGGTGCACACCCCGCTAACTACAAAGGATGCGAGGTCTATAAAGAAATTCTGTCTAGGAAATCAAGTAGACCAAAACCATACATCGTAAATACACAGAATAAACGAAATAATGAAGAAAATCCAAATAAATCGACTGAACGTCAACTACAATATCAAAACAATGAGAGATCAAGAAACACTAATAAATATGTCACAGAAACAAAATCCTTTGCAGATATCTTAAAAATGCATAATGCACCCCCGCAACACAACAATAATTTAGAAATTCTACTCACACAACAAGCTTTAAAGCTAGATAAACTATTAGAACAAATGTCAACAATGATGAATCTTCTCACAACAGTTATCAACAAACTTGTTCATTGAGATGGCTACTCTGAAATTAGTAACCTGGAACACAAACGGGCTGGTCACGCACAAGTATGATGTGGAAAGTCTATTGGAATACGAGAATGTTGATATACTCCTTGTATCTGAAGCACACTTAATACCAAATCACAATCTAAGGTTAAAAAATTATAGCATATATTCGACATCCCACCCCGATGGAACAGCTCATGCGGGCACAGCCATAATTATTAAGAAGCACATCAAGCACGATATCCTTCAGGAGTATAAAACGG